CATTCCGGTGTCGGATGCGATCACCGCGGCAGATACCGCTGTGCACTTCCTCGATGCTGTCTTCCGTCATCATGGCCTTCCCGAATCTATCGTCTCCGACCGCGACCCGCGCTTCACGTCGGCCTTCTGGTCAAAGCTCTTCGAGCTACTGGGCTCGAAGCTAATGATGTCCACAGCAGCCCATCCGGAAACGGACGGCCAGACGGAGCGCGTAAATCGCGTCCTCGAAGACGTCCTTCGAAGCTACGCGACGTCGTTCTTCAGCTGGATCTCGTTTCTGCCACTGGCCGAGTTCGCTCTGAACAACGCGGTACACGCGTCGACTGGGCTGACGCCCTTCTTCGTTAATAACGCGCGACACCCGCGTGTCCCTGCTCTCCTCGCCGTGGGCCATCCCACAGCGCCGCGTGTCTCCACTCTGGGTGGGGAAGAAGCTGCCGACAAGCCGTCTACTCCATCTGCGATGTCTCCGGCGGCTACACCGGTACTGGGTCAACCGGTACATACACTGGTTGCTAATGATATCTCGAGTGTATCCCCTGTTCCCACGTCGGTCAACGCAGTGACACGCTCCGCATCGAGCTCACTTGCGCCAGCTAACTACGCGCCGAAGCATGCGGCGCGACCAATCGACTCCGCAGTCGTCTCCGACTTCGTACTACAGCGCCAAGTGGTCACCCGCTATGTTCGAGACGCACTGCAGGATGCAGTAGACAAGCAGAAGGAGAACGCCGATAGGATCGGCCGCAAGAACACGGCCACGTTTACGACAGGCGAACGCGTGCTTCTGTCGACTGAAGGTATCAGAAACTCTGCGGTTACCAACCTCGGCGCGAACAAACTCGCGCCGCGCTTTATTGGGCCATTTACGGTAATCAAAGCCATTGGTGATGCCTACACGCTTGACATTCCTACGTCACTACGTCTGCATCCGACGTTTTACGTCGGACGGCTCAAGAAGTATCACCCCGCTACGATTCCAGAGTCGTCTCAGGCTACTGAGCCGGAGCATGCGTCGAGCGACCTTCTCGACGGGCGCGGCGAGCCATCGACCCATCCGCACCAGGAGTCGGATCTCGAGGCTGCGTCCCCGTCTGCAAACGTCCGTGAACCGACCTCTTCAGCATCTGCAATCGAGCAAGGATCTCTCGGTTCGACTGACGCAGCTGCGCACTCTCCCCGGTGGCCCGGGCAGTCTGATCGAGAGCCTCATCCAACTCCTGCTGGACATCCCAGTAGCTGTTCAGCAAGTCGTTCTCGCTCTGGGCAACCAGAGCGCGAGTGCTATCGACGCGACGGCCCTCCTCCTGTTGTTGACGCTGCCGGAGATACCCGCTGGATTGTTGAGTACATCGTTGCCCACGAAGATCCACTTCGCGCTCCCAAACGTCATCGTGGGCTCGCCCACAATGTTCCAGCCGACCGTCGCTATCGGGTACGTTGGCTCGGGTTTCCTCCCGACGAGGATACGTGGGAGCCTCGCGCCAATCTCCTTCGGGACGTCCCGAATGTGGTCCAGGTAGACCCTCGGGAACAGCACTCACGGCCACAGACACAGCAGCCATAATCATAGTCAAGTACGTGGGTCTGTCCGGGTGACGAGGATCTTCATTGCCGCGGATCATACCGACGATAAACACGAGGATGGCCACACCCACCGCGATGAGACCCATGACGTACCCAGTGTGGTGTAGAGCTCGCTGCAGAGGCGTGAGCTTCGGACGGTGCTTGGCGATGCAGTCACCAAGAGGGTTACGGATCCACTTCTTCTCTGCTGATGCATCCGTGCCGCTCTTGGCTTGTAGTAGAGCTGCAATGGAGCCCACCCGCGTGTTCATACCAGTCTCCACTACAATACCACGAGCGTTGCCGGCGGTGATCGTCGTGGACGAGAAGACCATGTTACTCGCTGTCAACTTGGCAGGTTTGCCGGCTCCAGCGGGGTGGATCGGAGCGTTGTATTTCTTGGGGACATCCTCCGAGTCGCCCGTGAGCAGCATCTCGTTACACTTGAGATCGACACTAGTGAACAGCCGAATGTCAGCAGGCACACCGTCGCCTGTGACGAGGATCTGTCCACCACTTGTTGCATCCCGTCACGGATGACAAGCGACTGCAGACGAGTGAAGATGCAAAGATCTCTCGACATCCAACTGCAGCCGAAAGCTCGAGCGCACTTTCAACACTCTTTCCCCGCAAAGTTACCCCTAAGGACGAGACTTGTTTGTTCAGCTTCTCCCTGAGTTTCATGGGCCTCGGAGATGGGTGCATTCACGCTTTCTGGGGACGATGTAGGCAGGACCCTCTCGCCAGCATGAAAGGGCAATTCTGGTTCTTTTAGGCGATTTCCGATAATCACATTATTGGGGCCCACATCGCTGAGAAGTCATTTTTCCCAGATAAAGTGGACCACAGAACTGAAGAGGCGCATCCTCCCCGCTGGATTGCGGAACATGGGAACAGCGAACATCCTTTGGGCCCTTTTGGAACGACGATTAATG